CTTAACCACCACACCACAGGCTGGCCCGAAAGCATTTATATCATATACATGTCTGGGTAAGTGTAGAACATGGAGACTTTAAGTGCACAGATGAAAATGGAAACTATAAAAAGTGCCAGCCAGAGAATAAACACACACACACACACACACACATCCAGGGAGAGCTTTTTAGAAGAAAAATAAATTTTAAAAGTTTTTCTCTTTCCTCTTTTTTTAAATTTAAGCAGCAGTGGAGTAGCTAGCTGTGTTGCGGTGAAAATGAAACTGAGAGTGTTATTTAGAACAGAAACTCATCCTAGACATATGGAACAATTATAAAGATGGGTGGGGGGGAGGGCAGGAGGGTCAGTGGACAAAGAGGGCTTTGAGCAAGTGGGAATTCAAGAGTGATTACAACTCGCCTTGATCCCTAGGCTTCCTCTAAGTGTTTCCACCCTCATGCTTTCCCCATTTCAGAAACCAAGGCTTTCCAGTTGTGAAGCCTGTTTGCAGCAGATGAAGAAGGCAGCAGTGCCATGGTGAAAGACAGTGGAGAGGAACCTTGGGAGCACCGGGCAAGAAGTCCCTAGCCATCCCAGTCTCCCCAGATTCTACCACTGCAGGAGAGGTTCCCAGCACACAACTCATTTATCTGGGCCCACTAATCGTTAGGGTATTTCCAGTTTGCTCTAGCAAACTCAAATTCACCTGTTGAGATTCAGCCCAGTGATTAGATGCTTAATGTAAAAACTGATGAGTCCTGCTGGGATATAAACATTTCTCAATATATCAATTCAGGCTCCAGCCAAGTGGAGAGACCTATTTATCCCCACTAATTGTGTTTACTGAAGTCATCCTTTGTGACCCTAATTAGTCAGAAAGCACCAACGGAGGGCCACTAGGAGCCTAGGGTGAATAAACATAGGCAGAAGGAATGCCTATACTCAGCCTTTTGGCAGAACACAGGATCCTTGGAATTGAAGTGCTAGCTCTAACCATGACTGTTTGAGCTATGAGCTCAGCAATTTCAGACTTTCGGAAAAAGCTGCTCAATCCTAATCACCTTGGTTTCCGAGTTGACACAATTACGAAGATGTTCATGGATTGTGTGAGAACTTGAGAATTTTTTTTTTTTTAAGGTTTCTTTGCCATAACACATGCACTCACCAGAGAGAGAGACAGAGAGAAGGAAAGAGAAAATCACCCCCCAGGAGGGATGGCCATGCCACAATCCCTTCTCCTCCATTCTCCTCTTGGGATCTTAGGCATGCTCACACATACACCCAGCATAATTTTCAAATCACCAGGTCCAGGACTCGAACCACAGTGAACCATGTGGGAGTCCAGCACCTTAACCACCACACCACCGGCTGGCCCCTGGGAATTTGAGGATTCTTATAATAATGACACTTATAACTATTACTTCTGCCAACACTTACACATCATCCACCATACTTAGAAAGGGCATTCTCTGTTGTAATCACTCTATATGTACTAATACACTAATGTGACAAGCACAAGGACATAGGTATTATGTTCATACAGAGAAGGAACCAACACAAACAAGTCAGGTAACTTAACCAAGGTCACAAAGTTAGTAGATGAAGGTAGGAGGACCTAAATACAATTTCCATCATTTAACTAAACCCCAATATTTTAGAGCAATATTCTATGGACTACACAGAAGATATGCAGACAGTGCTACACTCAAAGAGCGCATGGACTAATTGTAGATATTAGCAACCCTTTCTTCTCTTTGAGAGAGGGAGAACCCCCTCCCCCAATGGGATATGGCCACATGGCAATTCCTCCTCTCCCATTTGTCATCTGGTTGGGGATTTGGGACACACACCATACAGGTATCCAGTCTGTGCTTTTCAAGTCCTGGGGTGGGAATCTGAACCAGCTGACTATGAGAGATCTGGCTCCCCTAACCACTAGGCAACATGGCCTGCCCAAGGCAATTCTATGGACCTTGGTTTGCTCCTTACTCACCTATATAGGATTTTCTAACTAGAAATATCACCAATGTTGCCCTGCCTTTTATAAAAGGGTAAGGCAACTTTAGGCCAGTGGAAACCAAGTTACTATTGAATAATTTCAAAACCTAGAGAGTAGCAAGTAGCATATATCCAAAACAAGAAAGCCAGCTTCTCTGTAGCAACTATCGTGGTATCTTCATAGCCTATGTTCTATGTGGCAGATGGAAACGTGTATCAGAGTAATGATACAAAACAAAATTTGATGCATTTTGATCAAAATTGACCTTCAATCCTCCAATTCCACCTCTCTTCTTCACCTCTCCCATATTCTTTTTCTTTATTCCAATTTAAGTCACCGATCTCACCCTCTCCTTCCTTTCTTCTGCCTCTAGAGTGAAACTAATAATGGACACCCCTTAGATTTATGGGGGTAGGGGTGGAGAGAGTGAACTGTTTGAAATCCTTTATCATTAATAAGCCTTAAAGAGATAGCGTTTTGGACAAAATATTTATACAAAAGATAAAGAAAAAAGAAAGGAAGGGAACCAGCAGTTAGCGTAATGGCTATGTCGCTGGACTCCCACGTAGTTGACCGCAGTTCACGTCCCCGGACCCGGTGGCTTAAAACTCACGCCGGGCGTGTGTGCGTGCTTGCCCAAGATCCCGAGAGGAGAATGGAGGAGAAGGGATTGCGGCGTGACCATCCCCTCTGGGGGGTGATTTCTCGCTTTCTGTCTCTATGTCTCTTTCTGTCTGCCTGGCGAGCGCACGCGCCCTACAGTGAAAATCTCTCCCCTCCCCAAAAAAAAAAAAAAAGAAAGGAGAGATGAGTTTCAATGACCTCAGGGAGACTTTCAAGCTTAGACTGGGTCAAAATGAGGCTACATAAATGGGGACTAGGCCAAGCAAAAAGCCGTCGTCCTCCCGGGTCTGGAACTGCCCAAGCCACGTGCCGCCGGGACCGCTGTGCAGGGCTTTCCCCCCCTCCACCAAAAGGCCCTTTCTCAGAGGGTGGAGGACTTGTGCCGGCTCCGCGGGCCCTCTCTCCCCATGTCAGGGCTCCCCTCGACCTCCCCTGGAGAAACAGAGCCTCCTGTCCGCAAACAGGAGGGGCTTGATCCCGGCGCTGGGCCCTTCCTGGGGGTCCGACAGGTCCCTCGGGCCACCTCTCACAGCACAGCCCCGGCGGGGCCGCGCGCGGTACCCGAAGACCCCGAACCCCGTCACCCATCCGCGCCCGCAGACCCTCGTGCGCCGGCCGGGCCGAGCAGCCGCCGCGAGTGTGCGTAACGTGCCCCCGCAGAGTGACGCACGCGCCGCGCCGGGGAGGCGCGGCCGGGGAGAAGGCGCGGAATGCGCGACGCGAGGAGCGCGCAGGAGGCGTGCGGGCGGAAGTCGGCGTCTGCGGAAAGGAGAAAGGAAAGGGAGACGCGGCTGGGTGCGGCGGGGGGAGGCCGGGAGCCGGCGGGAGGGCGCCGCCTCCTCCCCCGCCCTCTCGGCCGAGGATGGAAGTGACGAAAGCAGCCGAGAAGGTCACTTCCTGCTGGGGTGGATGAGGAGGCGGGCCACGTACCGACCGGAGCGGGCCTCACCCAGCGAGGGGGCGGGGGAGGGAGGGAGCCCGGTGTCTGAGGGGCGACAGGGACCCAGGGCAGCGTTCGTGCGGTGGCTCCGGGAACCCGAGGCCACGGGGCGAGTGGAAGGGAGGCTGGAGAGGCTGTGGAGTCAGGAGTCTGCCGCGGGGACCCACAGGGCCACACTGTGCATGCCTCGCTCTTCGGGCAGTGGTCGCGATCGAAAGGAGCGTAGGGGGCCTGGGGTTTGCAGAGTTGAGACGGGTGGCCCTGCTTGGACAGTGTGTCCTCGGAGTGGATTAGTGAACGGCATGAGGGGCGCCTCCGGGCTCCTGCGAGGGGACCTTTATGGGGAAAATTCGGGAGCTGATGTCAAGAGAAGGCTTCCTGGCCAGGTCATCGTTGCAGCTGGCTTGGGACCCCACAGTGGAGCTGGCTGAAGGGCATTCTTTAGCAGGGACAAGGCCTCGAGATCCGAGAGGGCCATCTAGGAGTTAAGAGTCCAGGCAGCTTCCTGGAGCAGTGGGGAAATTAGTGTTTTTCCTCCCTTATTGTCACGGAGATGAGAGAGGAAACTCCTGTCTCAGCCTGGTGCCCTGCTATTGTGTAGCTGTGTGTGTGTGTGTGTGTGTGTGTGTCTGTGCCTGTGCCTGTTTTCGCCTTCCTCTGAGGCATTATCTCAGAGCAGGTCCTTGGCCCCTGCTAGTTTTATAGACTGAAACTATAGTGTGTGTCTGGTGAGAGAGAAATTCAAAGGGTCTAGAGGACTCCTAGGTTAAATGAAATTTCCAAGATTAGGATTTGTCCCCACCCCACCCTGGGGCCACTGGAGCACCTGCACTCTCTCTAGACTCCTGTTAATGTGGGTGCTGAGGCCTGTCCATCCTGGGAAGCAGTGAGGGTCCATCTGCCTCCATCGCTCTGGCTGGTAGTTTCACCCCTCCCTCCTTTTTTGCTAAAGGATAGACTGACACAATGCTGCTTGCTGCTAGGAACAGGAAATTTATTGAGGAACTGTAAATCTGGATGGATGAATTCATATCACAGCAAGACTCCTGTCACTCATCGGCCAGAAGGTCCTCCGAAATGTCAGCTTTTTCTTTTCCTTCTCGTTGAAGGAAGAAAATGTTAAATTTTTCTTAAAAAAAATTTAAAATACTGAGGAGTGAGTGTGTGTGTGTGTGTGTGTGTGTCTTGTACAGAGTGACTGTACATATGATGTGTTTACTTCCTGTATCCTAGGGTGTTTTTTAAGGGGGAGGGGGCAGTTTCTGTCTGGGAGGAGTTTTCTCCCATCTCACATAATTCAGTAAAATAAATCAAAATCAGATGTTCATTCTTGAGTAGGAATCAGATGGGTTTGGAGGGTTTTTTCACCGTTCTTTAGACTGGTACATCTGGGTGAACTCCGGCTTGTGTATCTTGGCATCCAGGCCTGTCTAGTAATAGAAGACAAACTGTTTGACTTGTTTTGGCTGCCTTTTTGGACCTGTTTCACTGTACCCTTCCTTTTTTTAAAAAAAAAAAACATTTGAAGAGTTGGTCAGGAGGAAGAAAGCAAATATTAAAGACAGTGTTTACACTGTGTGGTTTGAAGTCAGGTGAGAGATAATTATGGCTTTTGAAGCTGAGGACCTGAGGACCATCATTTGATAACCTGGGGTTAGCAGTTTAAAGGTGACATGTTTGAAAGAAAGAGAATTGTATAAGGAAGGAAAAGACGGGGGAAAAGGAAGTTTGGGAGAGGCTGTGCCAGTAAGCCTGGGGAGGAGAGTAAATAAATAGTATCTTAAAGTAATTGTGGGCTTGTGTCTCTCAGCAGGAGGGTGAAAATGAAAGCAGGCTGTAGCATCGTGGAAAAGCCAGAAGGAGGTGGAGGTGAGCAGAAGTTAATCATCTGATGCACCTGGAATGTCCCTCTTTATTTCCTGTTCTCTCCACTTGAGCTCTGTTCACAAATGCCAGACCATGCCTGACAGCCTCTTGACTGGATGGCTATTGCTAGGACAGTTGTAGGCTTGTTTCCTGTGGGTGTGTATTTAACATGCCTGGTCTCCACACCCTTCCCAAGCTTTAGAGTCTCCTTTTCTATAACAAAGCACAATTCCAACCTTGGAGTAAGGAGTTTTCAACTGTATTTTCCTAAAACATTACCTTTCCTGTTTGTTCTCTGGAATGTTCACCTCATGGAAAGTAGGCATGAAATTTATTAATGTGTGAAAAGGTAAGAGATTAGGACACCTGGGGGCTGCTCCCAACTATTATCAGATTAATGATTGTCACAAGGATAGGTAACTTCTCTGTTCTTTCCTGTCCCCTGTTGTGGTTAGCCATAGGTGACTGGAAGGGTGTTTATGGCATGTTTGCAAAGCACTCCAGAGATCTGGAGTGGTGGAATGTGAAGGTGGCGGTGCCAGATGTAGTGCCTTGCCCCTAACTGCCTTGATCTTGCCCTGTTCACATTAAAGGGTATCAGTTCCCCGACTGGGCCTACAAAACAGAGTCATCCCCAGGCTCCCGGCAGATCCAGCTGTGGCACTTCATCCTGGAGCTGCTGCAGAAGGAAGAGTTCCGCCATGTCATCGCCTGGCAGCAGGGAGAGTACGGAGAGTTTGTCATCAAGGATCCAGACGAGGTGGCCCGCCTCTGGGGCCGCAGGAAATGCAAACCACAGATGAATTATGACAAGCTAAGCCGAGCCCTCAGGTAAGGGAAAGGACTCCCAAATCTGTGGTGTTAACAGATTGGAAGGAGACTGAGCAGTTCAGTGAATGCTAGATAAAAAAAGGATCAGGCGATAAGAGACCACACTATCTTAGTGAATAATAATGTGTAGCTTTAAAGTGGGGGTAGAGGGCTGTTGAGTCTGAGTAGCACAGGCTCAGGAGGGGAAAAGGCATATCTTTGGTTATATGTAGGAGGGAATTCCAATGCGGCTGGCACTGGATCCTGACAGACAGCCGAATCTGCTCAGTAGTGGGCGAGAGTGTATGATGAAACACAGATTGGAGCTCATGTATAATCCAGAGGATTAGTTTAGACTTCCCTATTGGGAACGTGTTAGAATACCTCTTCTTTGGGCTTCCCTAGGCAAAACTGGAAACGAGCAAAGCAGTCACGCGGGAGGCGGGCTGGCTGAATGGCACCGACCTAGCTGTTGAGGAGCTGTATCTGTGAGCTTGGTTGTCAGTCTGCAGGTTGCTCCACCTGTCAAAAGATTTGTGATAGGTTTTCTCAGGTTCTCCTTTCCACTTGCCAGTCTTTACATTTCATAACTCTTTAGCCCTCAAGGGCTCAGCAGGCAGTTTATGACCTGAACTACTGAGTAGAAGCAGGGCTAAAGGTTCCATGTATGCTGAAGTTCCCCTACTGTTCTTCTTTTTTAGTACCCTGAGTGTAGTCTGTGTAGTAGCTGTGCTGGAGCCTCTCACATCCCCAGAGTCCTTATAGTAGAAGCAGGCCAAGCTGGCTGCTGCTTTCCAGATCAGGGTATGCCATTGTTTAACCCGCCACCATAAAACAGTTCTGCATTCCTTTGTCTATGCCTTGAGCTTGGGCCTCCAGACTAACCACATCAGATCTCTCAAGAGACTTGTCTGCCCCCACCTGGGCAATCAGAAAAGAGAAAGTAGGCAGTTAGTAACATGTAGTGGAACAGGAAGGAAATGGACTATAGAATTGACATTGTAGAGAGATGGAGAAGAAAAGTGGTTGGGGTTAGGGTAGGTGTTGATTTTAAAGTAAGGTTGTCTTTGTAAAGCTCTAGCTAAAGCCTAGAGTTTAGTTGAAAATCAAATGAGAAAAGTAAGCTATTAGGTTTCTCAGCCCTACCCTGAGGGCCAGACTACACACGAATGATAATGTTCACAGTTAATACTTAGAGCAAGAATCCTTGGTCACAGTGGATACCTAAGTTTATTGAAAGCTGTCAAAAACTAGAAGTTAAATTGACATGCATTCCTGTTTTTACAGATACTATTACAACAAAAGAATCCTTCATAAAACTAAAGGGAAAAGGTTTACTTACAAATTTAACTTCAGCAAGCTGGTGATGCCCAACTACCCATTCATCAACATTCGGTCAAGTGGTAAGATGCATACTCTTTTCATGGGGAATGTATTTTGAATGGAAAAAGATTTTAAAAACCAAAGTCTAATATGGCATGTTTAAGGAAGATTTCGAAATACTAAATTATTGTGAGCCCTTGGATTGCCTCAGTGTCTTGCTCACGTGTTCCATTCTTCTCAGAGGGAGCATAGGCATGCAGTATCAGGATAGATTTGTTTGGTTTGTTTATTTGTACTTCTTTTCTGCATATTATTTGCAATCTCCTAGAAGTTATTGCACTGTCCTCTTTGGGAATGACATTCCACAGGTTTGTGTTGATCTTTTGGCTCCAGGACTCAGCTTTAACACCTGCCCGAAAGCTCTCTCATAGATAGGAACCTGTTTCTACAGACACTTCCGATTTTCTATGAAACTACCAAGCTCTCCCTTATCAAGTGAATATCATCAAAACCACAGCATCCTTGATCAGAGCTGGGGAGGTTCACATGTTTGCAGTGAAAAGCAGTGCCTTTGATCTGCACCACCAACTCCTCAGAGAACAAGACTCTGGGGTTACTTGACCTTCTCTTCTTTTAAGTGCAGCAGGGCTTCCCCTCCAGGCTCTCCAGCTGATAGCTCTCCATGACACCTCTTCACAGAGCCTCTAGGTCAGTCTCTCTCTTGATACAGAGGCAGTCTCTTCTAAGGTTTTGTTGTTACGTGCATACAGTTTGTTTGTTTATAGGTTTTTTTTGTTTGTTTGTTTTAAAATGAAAATCAAACCCCTGCTCAGGGAAATAGATTGTGTTTAACTAATTTCTGGCCAGTCTGTCAATACTTAATCTTTGTGTGCCTGTTTGTTAAGGCAAAAAAAAAAAAGCCAGTCATGATTCTGCCCTAATACAACTTCTCAGAGAAAAGTTGGAAGAAACCTGAAAAAATAGAGCGGGGGTGTGGCTGAGAGAATATAATGCTGAGATTCACTGCAGAAATGTAATTACTACACGCAACAAGTTAGGGCAGTTTTAGCTCCACTGTGCTATCATTATAGTTCCATCTCTCCTGTAACCACTCCCTCCTGTCCCTGGGGCATGCATTTAAAAAAAAAAAATGGTATTGGAATGCATCTCTCTAATTACAACCTGTTTTCTTTCCTTGTGCCTGAGGGAGAGGCGTTAGGAAATAAGACCTGTTTTAGCCACTAGAATCTTGTTTCCTCTCTTGCCTCTTCACTGGGCACCTGGAAGAATTGGGGCTCTAGGTGAAGCTTTATTTTCTTATGTTTGCCAGCAGTTTTAAAGAATGCATTGGTGTTCATATCCCCCCCACACACACTCCACCACCCCCTTTCCCACTGCTTCATTGGTCTGATTCTTTCACTCATTTTTGTCCATTGAAAACCCAGAAGCCAGCTACTTGGACAATCTAGAATGGGTTATCCATCAACCCTCGGGGATAATGTGGTTTTCCAGGGCTAGAAAATCTAGACCTTCACTCTATGAAGATACCTGTCAGAAATTAACAGTAGTGGCCTAGCACACCTGTTCTGCCTGAAGGCTATTGAACCAACATTGATCCTTAACCAAGCTCAAGATCTTAATCAAAAAGTCACAGGGAAAGCAAAACAGGGTTACATTTCTTTTTGGCATACTGTCAGTACTTAGTTGCTCACATCCTAGACACAGATAACTCCACAGAACTCGAGGCATCAGTTTATAGACAACTTCTACCCAGTTAGAACAGGTGCTGTTTAATGTTAGCTTTATGATGACAGAGGAACATAATATCTATTGAACATCTATTAAATTGAACATCTGTGAAATGGAGATACGTTTGTGTAGGGTTTTTGTGAATTACCTTATTCGATCCTGTAGCCTAGTGAAGTACATCATTTTACAAATAATAAAGATAGGTGGCTAGCCTGTACCTTAGTGGTGACAGGAGCCAGATCCCACATGATCAGCTGTGGTTCAGACTCCAGCCCCAGTGGCTTGGAAGACAAGTCACATGTATATTCTTACCTAAAATCCTGACTGGATGGAGAAATAGATAAAGGATTGCAGCATGACCAGGCCCATTGGGGGGTACATTCTTCTCTGTCTCTATGTCTTTATAGCCAGTGCACATGCCCTCTAGCAATTAAAAAATAAATTAAAAATAATAAAGATAGACAGTAAAGTCAAAGACTGATGAGGCTGTCACTCATTGTTAGTTTCTCAGGAAATAATTCTTAAAGTATTGAACTATTAAAATCTAGTTCTCCTGAGGCCAGCAGATGGCGTGGTAGTTAAAGGCGCTGAACTCCCACATGGCAGACCGTTGTTCTAGTCCTGGACCTGGCAGCTAGATTTCTCCCCCCCACACACACTGTCTGGTCAAATTAAAATGAATAAATAATAAAACAATTTTTAAAAATAGTCTAAAAAAAACTTTCAAGGGAGATTTTTTTTAAATCTAGTTCTCCTATTGATATTGGGTCATCAGAAAAGTCATGACACATTTTTGCATATATGAAGAAAAATACATTATGACTTTTTCAGTGACCCAATAGATTGTACATTCCTTCCTTACATTGAGATTTATCCGCGTGTTCAACAAATAAGGTGGTCAGCCTTAAAAACCAAAAAATAAAAAGTTATGGGGAAGTTTTTCCTTTAAGGAACTTGGAGTTTGGTAGGAAAGGTAAGACAGACTAGATTTAATACAATGTGAAATGTGATAAGAGCTCTCAGAAGTAGAGCTATGTGGATTTACATCCTGGAGACCAAAGAGATCGTGTCTACAAGGTGTGTTAATGAAATTGAGCTGTTCTGGTATGTATGTTTTTTTTAAATAAAGGCAATATACAATTAATTATAACATAACCAAATAATATCAGAGCATATCAAGTATGAGGGTAAATATTCTCCCTTCCCTTCCTCATGCTTCTTCTCAATGTTAATATAGGGTAGAATTCTTTTTTTTCTTTTAAGAATTATTTTATTGAACTTTGTGAATTTTTAATTTGACCAGAGAGGAACAGAGCGGGGGGGGGGGGGCAATGGGGGGGTGAAGAAAGAAAGCCGCAAAGTCTGGGACTTGAACCTTGGTCAGCCATGCGAGAGTCCAACGCCCTTAACCACCATACCACCTGCCAGCCCCTAGGATAGCATTTTTAATATTTGGGTAATATTGAAAGTATTTTCATTTTGTAAGATACAGTGTCTTACATTTATCATTAAAAACATCCTGTAAGGGACCAGCAGGTGGCATGGTGGTTGAGGCGCTGGACACTCCCACGTGGCTGACCCCACGGTTCGAGTCCTGGACCTGGTGGCTTGCTTTCTCACTTCCCCACTCTTTCTCTCTGTGCATGTCTCTCTCTGATCAAATTAAAATGAATGAATGAATGAATAAAATTAAATAATTCTTTTTTTTAATTCTATAAAATACATTATTTAATATGTTTTAAATTTGTTTTTAGATTTGCCTAAGAAACATTGGAAAGATACAGGTGATACTAGTAAAAATGGTTCCCGGTCTGGTGGGAGCATGTCTTGAGACCTTGAGTCTGTGCCTTCCTACTCCCACTCTTACCCTAAGTTTTTGTTTGTTTTTGGAAAACTTCATACCTACAGAAAAATTGAAAAAAGAACAGATAGCCCCCATATATCCCTTATCTAGACTCACTAATGATTGACATTGTTGCCACATGTGTTTAATCTCTTTCTATTTGTGTATACTTTTTGAATTTTTCTACATTAAGTTGTAGGCATAGTGACACTCACCCCTGTGCACTTCAGCATGTATCTCCCAGGAGCAAGCACATGTTCTTCCATAACCACAGTAACATTACCACACTGAGGAAGTTTAACATTGCTTTCATACTGTTTTCTCATACATGGTCCATATTCGAATGAACCAATGAGCCCTCTAAGTTTTCTTTCACTTTTTCTTCTTTTTTAATTTTTTAATTTGCTTAGGGCCCATGAGCCTTGCCAAAGAGAGATAGAGAAGGGAGAGACAGAGAGAGGGAAAGTGAAAGAGCACCTCCCCGCAGAGATAACCACATCACAGTCCCTTCTCTTGCTCGTTCCTCTCCAGGTTTTGGACACACACACACACACACACACCCCAGGTGTATTTTTCAGGCCACCAGGTCTGGGATTCAAACTGCACAGCCAGCCTAATAGGATCTAGCCACCTTAACCACATGCCACCTGCCTGGCCCAAATTTTTTATTTTTTGGACCACTATTACTATCTAGGAAAAATTTATTTTAACAACCACATGCATATTTTTAAGGCCTTTACAAATATTATCTGGTTTTCAATCTTCATAACATTAGGACTGGTCCTGTTATTACCTGTTTTACAGGTAAGGAAACAGATACAGAGAGGTAAGTTATCCAGAAACACGTAACTAACAAATGGTAAGGACAGGGTTTGAATGTAGACAAAGGTCTTGTTTTCATTTTGCCCAAGGGAAGTTTCCAGTTTATCTGCAGTAGGCTACAAGGTTGAAGGTGCCAGAACTGAGATTAAGACCCAGATTTTCCTACAAGAATTTTGTGTTTATTTTTTTCATGAAGGTAGTCTTCTTTCAAAGCAGTGGTATTCAAACATGGATTTTTTTTTTTTATGGCAAACTTTTTTTGTTTTGTTTTGTTTTGTTTTGCATCCTATAGATGCATATGCTTGCCATAGAGAAAGAAAGCGAGGAGGAGAGAGTGAGGGAAAGTAAGAAATCACACTACAATCCATTCTCCTCTCAAGATTTTGAACACACACACACACACCTGGTGTGTTTTTCAAGCCACCAAGTCCAAGACTCAAATTGTGCCATCAGCCATGTGAGATCCAGCTGCCCGAACCACCATGTCTCCAGCTGGCCCTTAGCAAACTTTTTTTTTTCCCCAAACAAAATCTTAGATGTGAGATCTCACCTATGAGGGTGTGGCTGTTCCAGCCAGTCGGAAGCCAGGCCAAGCCAGGAAGGTGACTAACCTCCCAGCATTGCTGCTAGTAGTCTCCCTTTCCTGCTCCACACAGTGTATTTGGGAAATGCTATGTATCGTGTTCCTGTCTTGTACACACATTTACAGTGTACCTTAGTATGCATAAAGACAGAGTTATCCTCCAGTTAAAGGACAAAAGACAAAACAAAGCAAGAAACACTGACTTGGGACCAGCAGTTAGCATAATGACTATGTTGCTGGACTCCCATATAGCTGACCATGGTTCGAGTCCCGGACCCGGTGGCTTAAACTCACACCGGGTGCATGTGTGTGCATGCCCAAGATCCTGAGAGGAGAAGGGATTGCAGTGTGGCCGTCCCCTCTAGGGTGTGATTTCTCGCTTTCTGTCTCTCTGTCTTTCTGGCGAGCGCATGCACCCTATAGCAAAAACCTCTCCAAATAAAAAAGAAAGAAAGAAACACTGACTTGATTTAACCACACATTTCTGAGCTGCTTAGGAGACAGAGCTTTCTTTGCCCTCCACATCGTACTTGCTCAATCCTACAGAGTACTTAGAAGTGGTTTTTTACTTTTAAGCAGATATGCTTTTTATTCTAAGAATTCTTTTATTTAATTTTATTTATTTACTTACTTACTTTAATTTGACCAGAGAAGGACAGAGTGAGAGCGAGAGAGAGGGAAAGTGAGAAAGCAAGCTGCCAGGTCTGAGACTTGAACTGCGGTCAGCTATGTGGGAGCCCAGCACCCTTAACCTCCACACCACTTGCCAACTCCTAAGCAGATATGCTCTTAATAAAAACTTAAAATCCAAAAGAATCAAGGAGAACAACATTTTTTCAAATAATTTTTTTTAATTTAACTTCATTTATTCATTTATTTCATGTAGTTTGACCAGAGAGGGATAGTGAGAGCGCGAGAGAAAGTGAGAAATTAAGCCGCCAGGTCCAGGACTCAAATCACAGTCGGCCATGTGGGAGTCCAGCGCCCTTAACCTCCACACCACCTGATAGCCCCAAGAAGAGCAGCATTTCAACCACTGTAATAAGCTGGTAGATGAGATCCTTTCAGCCTGCAGCCTTCCTGGCTTTACTCAAATGATAAGCATAGTCATCCATCTGGCTTTCCTAATTGTAAGGTTGAATATATAAGTGACTTTAAAAAAAGAAGAGGACCAGCAGGTAGTGTGTAGGTCAAGGTGCTATGCATGCGTGCCCAAGATCTCCAGAGCAGACTGGAGGAGAAGGGATTGCAGTGTGGCCATCCCCCTTCAGGGGTGCTTTCTCACTTTCTCTGTCTGTCTGTCTGTCTCTGGCAAACTCACACACCCTATAGCAATAACTGAAAGGGGGAGGGGGGTCGTCATCCTGCAGAACAGTTTTCTGTGAACATCAGTGGGAAGTGCTGCCCGGTGCAGTGGTTCCCAGTCCCAGGAGCTGAGAAGCTGCAGTCCTGCACGCATGCATCCTGTCCGAGGATCACTGCTCTACCAGGAATGGAAGGCAGCAGCTGTCTGGGAACAGTTCCCAACCGTGCTGCATCATAGGCACCTTTCTGCTGCTTCTCTTAGATTACCATACTTGTTTTGATTTCTTCCTATTTTTCCTTCTCCCTTATCTTAGTCTGAGAGTGTAAAGAGCCCTCCTGATAATCAACATCATGCTAGAAGCCCTCAGCCCTCCCTGGGAATCCTCGAGGCCTCCAAAGGCAGACCTTTCCCATGCCCATATATTGGAAAGACCTTTGGAGAAAGTGAAGAATTTGTGAGCCTTTGAAGTTGATACGGTTAGCAAAATGTCAGTTTCTGCCGGAGCGTCACGTTTTAGCAAGCGAAGGGAGTCATAGGTCCTGGATTTTCTCCCAGCCTCCTCAGTGCTTGAAGGCAAGATGGGAACAGAGATCATTATTTAGAATTTGTTAGAGAGATGAAGAGTTAGAGAGATTAGAAGATTTGAATCTCTGTGATTATATATCAGAAATTATAAAATATGTGTCATGAGAACTTCCACATACAACTTTTTTTTAATTAATCTGTTTTTATTAAAATATGGTCATGGTTGGTGGTTGGGGTTCTGGACTCCCACATATGGCCAACCACAGTTTGAGTCCCAGTCCAAGAGACTTGCTTTCTCACGTTCCCTCTCTCTCTCTGTCTGACTCTGGTCAAATTTAAAAATAATAAATAAAGAAGTAAAATTAAGAGTATGGTCTTGTTCATGTCCATATATATTAAAATATTGCTTTACATACATGCTCTTTCTTCTTTTGTCTTTTGGTTTTATTTGGCTTACTTACCTTGTACATATGGTTAAAGTTAAGATAAGAAGACTATTTGATGAAAAATAAGACTGGTGATATATACACAGTATTTAGAGTTATAGGAGAGAAGGCTCTTGAGTGTATTCATTCATTCAACTTACATTTATTGAGCATCTACTAATTGCTGTGCACTGATCTTCTGGGAATAAAGTGCATAATAGGGAGTCCCCGCCTCATGGAATTTATGTTTTAGAATATAGGTAGCAAGTCAGTGGTATTTCAAATAATAAGTAATACTGGGGGGACCAGCAATTAGCATAATGGCTATGTTGCTGGACTCCCACGTAGTCGACCACGGTTCAAGTCCCGGACCCGGTGGCTTAAACTCACGCTAGGCACGTGTGCATGCGTGCCCAAGATCCTGAGAGGAAAATGGAAGAGAAGGGATTGCAGCATGGCCATCTCCCCTGGGGGGTGATTTCTCACTTTCTGTCTGTCTGTCTCTGTCTGTCTGGCGAGCGCACGCGCCCTATAGCGAAAACGTCTCCCAAAAATAAATAAATAAATAAGTAGTACTGGGAAGACGATAAAATGACTAAGAGGCAGGACCAGCAGTTGGCATAATGGCTATGTCACTGGACTCCCATGTAGTTAACTGTGGTTCTAATCCCGGACCCGGTGGCTTAAACACACTGGGCATGTGTGCCTGCATGCCCAAGATCCTGAGAGGAAAATGGAAGAGAAGGGATTGCAGCATGGCCATCTCCCCTGGGGGGTGATTTCTCACTTTCTGTCTGTCTGTCTCTGTCTTTCTTTTTTTTGAGTGCACGTGCCCTATAGCAAAAAAAAAAAAAAAACACCTCCTCCAAAAAAAATGACTAAGAGGCAAGGGAGAGACTGAGCAAAAAAGGGCCAGACTGGCGACAGTGACACAGCTGTGCTCTCCAAGGCTGACCGTGGGGGAGGGCTATGGGTCTGTGCTGGCAGACCTCTCTGAGTACTGTCGGCACATATGTTGCATGCCCAGAACTGGGGCCAGCCGAGGCTAAGATGGGTCACAGTGGCAAGACCATATTGGGGGAGTGTACATACACTCTCTCTCTCACTTGTGAAAGAAATAAATGAGATTGAGTAGAAAGATTGAGCCGAAGCACCCGAGCAGTAGTTACTAAGCAGGTGGAGAACTGTGGGTTTCAGTCCACAGTTGGAATGTTTCTTTCCTGTTGCTAAACATTTCGTACTTGGGACCAGCAGTTAGCGTAATGGCTATGTCACTGGACTCTCACATAGTCGACCGCGGTTCGCGTCCCGGACCCGGTGACTTAAACTCATGCCAGGCGTGTGTGCGTGTGTGCCCAAGATCCTGAGAGGAGAATGGAGGAGAAGGGATTGCGGCGTGGCCATCCCCCCTGGGGGGTGATTTCTCGCTTTCTGTCTCTCTGTCTCTCTCTGTCTGGTGAGTACATGCGCCCTATAACAAAAACCTCTCCAAAAAAAAAATATGTATTTCGTACTTAGCCTGAGTAAAAATGATGAGAACAGATGGCCAAACCTCTAACGCAGCTTCTCATCTTTTCCACCATCTCAGGTGTCGTTCCTCAGAGTGCGCCACCAGTGCCAACAGCCTCTTCGCGGTTCCATTTCCCACCTCTGGACACTCACTCTCCAACTAGCGACGTTCAGCCAGGGCGCTTCTCTGCTGGCTCCCTGACTGCAGCTGGCCAGGAGTCAAGTAATGGCACTGACAGGAAGGTGGAGCTCTCGGAGCTGGAGGACGGCTCAGCTCCTGACTGGCGCCGGGGTGTGGACCTCATGTCCTCCAGGAGTGCTGTCAGTGGAGGAGGGATGGGCCATCAGAAACGCAAGCCTGACATCATGCTTCCTCTGTTCACCAGGCCAGGGATGTATCCAGACCCCCAAAGTCCCTTTGCTGTCTCTCCGATCCCTGGCCGCGGATTTAATGTCCCTATTTCGCCAGCCCTCTCACTGACTCCCACCATCTTCTCCTACAGCCCCTCACCAGGCCTGAGCCCCTTCACCAGCAGCAGTTGCTTCTCCTTCAACCCTGAGGAAATGAAACACTACCTTCATTCTCAAGCCTGTTCTGTGTTCAACTATCATCTGAGCCCCCGGACTTTTCCCCGTTTCCCAGGGTTCATGGTTCCGCCACTGCAGTGCCAAGTGCACCCAGAGGAGCCCTCTCAGTTTTCTATCAAGCTGCAGCCACCGCCAGTTGGGCGCAAGAACAGGGAGAGGGTGGAGAGCAGTGAGGAGGCAGCACCTGTCACAGTTACCAGCATGGCACCTGTGCCCCCAAGAATCAAGGTGGAGCCCACCCCTGAGAGAGATCCTGAGGGCCTCAGGCAGTCAGCCCAAGAGAAGGAGGAGCTCACTCAAGAAGCAGGTGCTGTGCCAAGCAGGACCACAGAAGAGGGAAAGGGCACTGTCTTTGCTCGCCCTGCTGCACCGCCTGTCTGGCCCTCAGTGCCCATTGGTACCCCAAGCGAAGAGCCCCTGGAAGTGTCTGAAGACAGTGAGGACAGGACCGGTAAAGAGCCCAGCGTACCTGAGAAGAAAGAAGATGCCCTGATGCCTCCCAAGCTCCGGTTAAAGCGACGCTGGAACGATGACCCTGAAGCCCGAGAGCTGAGTAAGAGTGGCAAGTTCCTCTGGAACGGGTCAGGACCCCGGGGCCTGGCAGCCGCTAACTGCAGATGCTTAGGACCGGAAGTGGGCTGGGAACTGTTTATACTATAATCAAATACATACATGTATTTATGTAGCAAGGTTCAGGGTGGGGGGCGGGCGGGAGGGCTTAGACTGGTTTGATCATTCTAGGGGCATAGACTTGTATTTTTATGTTTGGGGGATGGGATGGGGCATCTTCTGTTGTAAATTAGGTGAGATATGAACACACTTTTTTTTCCTGATGAGGACACAGGGAGGGTATTGAAGAGAGAAGGAGCCTCTTTTTCCTGTCGGGGCGTCCACTCAAGGAAAGAACAAGGAAACTCGTAAAAGGGCCAAGATACTTCTTGGTCCTGTGATAGTTCAGGTTCCAGATGTCTGTCTTTTCTATTCTGTTTATATACAGAAAGCCATCGATGAATTTACTTTGCTCTGAGATGCATAAAAGGGAAACGGGCGCAGCTGGAGGTTGAACAGTGAGAGACCATTAATACTATTTTGTCTGAAATGTTTCTTTAGAATTATTTCTGGGGAGGAGTGGAATATCCAGTCTTACTGGGTCAGTGGGTGGGGGAAATGTTCAGATGTTGCTCTTTTTCGTTTTTTCTTTTTTCTTTTTTTTTTGGTTGTTTGGCAATTTTTGTTTTTCTTTCTCAAAAACATGTTTTCAAGAAACATGAATGTACTGCCAGTTAGAGTGGGGTTGGGAAGGTAGCCACTCGGCTGTATGGTTGAGTCGGGAAGCCCCACCATGAGTTTCTGGACTTTTCACCTCCTTCACCTATTAAGAAGCCATGAGAAGCTGTAAACTCTTGTTCAGGGAAGAAAGAAGAGGGCAGGAGGAAGTAACCCAATGCCTTTAAAAGCAAAACAAGAATAATCCTTCATTTTCCTTTTTCCATCTTGGGTTTGGGGAGCCAAACCAAAGTGCAACTGGGAGCAAGTTCACCGAGAGGCGTGACAGCGTTGTCGAAGGTGTCTTTCCATTACGTCTAGTTCTCTGCTGTTCTTGAGTCAAGCCTTAACTATGAACATACTTTAAGATGATACGGGTCTGTCAACATAAACCTGTAAAAGTGCATGGACAACTTTTCAGATAATCCAGGAATGTTGAGACTTGGTAATATTTCTGGCCGATACTTAGTTCCTGTTGATGTCGTTGGAATGGGTAGCAAAAAGGCAAGATGGTGGGAGTTTAGGGCAGATGCTACCTGGAAACGCGGAAGATAGCTGGGGGTACAAGTGGGTGATGTTGAGACTGAAGAAAGAGATGGAAAGAAGACACAGAAGGCAGCCAGGTGCCAAGAAGGCCTGTTACAAGTGAGACCGTTGGTGTCTGTCCTGCTGTGTTACGTTCTTGCCCAACCCATTTGCCTAGATTGTTCTGAGTCTTACGATCAACCAACGGTCCTACAGGAGACTCCAGTTTACAGACAGCGAGGAATTGTTTCTTCATGGAAGTTCCCTTCCAAATTCAGAGGAATGGGAAACTGTTGATCTGATGCGAAGCAAAAGGGGCCTGGACTAGGAGCCGAGAGAAAGCAGCAGCAGCAGCCAGCCTTCGGGTGTGCACATGTTCTTACCTGATGCGCTTCAGCACCTCGCTGGCTAAGACCACCTGGCAGCAGGGAGGGGAGACCTAATTCCATACCTCACAAGGGCAAGGGGGCACAGGGCTGTGCTAGGGATTGCAGAATTCCTGGCTCCATCTTAGCCTAAGTGAAGCCTGTATACTACATAACATTTGAGGCTTATGTTTTATGGTTGGGTGTTTTTTCTTTTTTTTAACTGGAGTGCATACAGGAGATTGGGGCTCAGGAAAGGTTAGAGGAGGTTGAGTGTGACGTTCGAACTGGCTTGGAATGACATGCCTCCATCATGCTGTTTTCTGCCAAGTCTCTCCCTTTGGATTCAGGTTTCACAAACGACTTGTCTTTCCCCAGGAGAGGGACTAGGAGAATGGTCAGGCTGCAGAGGGGTCCCCATTTAGGCTGCCTTTGGTGGAAGTATTTTTGCAGTTTCTTTCTCTGCACCTCAGCTTACCTCTGAATCAGAAAGCAAGCCCAGCAGGGGGAGGAGGGTCCTCTGCTTGGCATTGCCAGATCTAACCAGGGAGACTGGCTGGCCACCACTGCCTGCTAGAGGGGAGGGCCAGCAGGTGTCTGTATGAACTCAGGAATAGAAACACGAGGCCTTTAAAATAAGAGAGAGGAAAAAAAATCCATGATGCATACCCGTAACCCCCTAGAACCCAAGTGCCAGGATTAATTCCTAGATGCTGCTTCTGTTTGAACAAAAAGTCACTGCTTTTACACTTGAAAAAAAAAAAAAACCACACTCAAAAAATGCGCTCAACTCCATGAAAAATGTTTTCTGGCTTTTAAGAAATTGTTTGGTGTTTGTTTCCTCGATTGCCATTCCACCAGTAAATTGTCGGTTGATTTGCACTGCACACTGGGGTTGGGGCTGGGGGGGCAGGGTCCTCACACAGAGCGGAACTGGGTCTTGCTCAGGAAGTGGACCAGGGCTCGCGGAGGTCATTGCTGTTTCCTGGGGCAAAAGAATGGGAGCGAGTTCCCCTCCAGCCCACTCCTGTCACAGCCCTTGTAGAGCCAGGCCCCTCTCTTCTGTGACCATCTCATCACTCCAACAGCAGGTGGAAAAGGGCGGGGTGCGGGGGGGGGATGGCAAGACCAGACCTGTTCTCTCCCTCTCTCCACTTTTTTTTTTTTTCCAAATGTTGCTGTGCCAAATGTTTAAAACTGTGTAAATATGAATCTATTTAAACGTTATTAATCAAGAATTCGTTCATGTAAACAGTTCACCTTTTTAAATGTAGAAAACATTACAGATCTCTTAAGGACGTACAGCCTTGCTGAGCTCACCTTTTTTCCTGAAGAATGGGTAGGAGCAAAACAAACAGGTCACTGAGTCCCTTCGCCCTAACTTTCAAGCTGCACTGCATTAAACCCCAAGTCACTAATCCGAGGAGTCATTGCACCTTCATCCTCCACGGGCCGAGGCACTTTTCAGAAGCATTAAAACAGTATGTCACTTCTCACCAAATGGGTAGTCAGTTGCTGTTTGTCCCTTGTTTTTTTTTTTATTTATTCCATAATTATGTTCGTGCTTTTTGTTTTGTAAACAGTGATGGAACTTACATTTTTTTGTGTGTGTAAGAAAAAAAAAAGACTGATTCAGACCTTAAGCACTGTCCCATTTTTAGTCTTCTTGGGGGGAAAAAAGTTACCAGTTAATTTGTTTTGAGATATTTAGGCATTCTTTTGAGTTATAAAATTGTGATGCAGGGATTTGTGAATGAAACATTCACATATGTGAAAGATGACTCTCTCTAGTTATCCGCTTAGAATAAAATGTGTATATGTACATAAAATGTAAGTAATCTTAACTCCATTGTGCAGTGCCTTTTAGATGTTATGTTTTCTATAAAGTCTTCAAATTTTTGCATATATATATTATATATATATGATGTAATGTTATAGAAATATATGTATAATATACATATTTTTTTCCAGGGGTATCTGATAGCTCTGTATTTTGTTATGGAAGTTGAAAGAAAAAAAGTATTTTACCTCAGAAATTAAAGTTAAATAAAAAAAAAATACTTTTAAGTAACCTTTGCTGAGTGTTGGTTTGGTTGTTCCTTAGACCCTGTGCCAGAGAACTCACCAAGGCCTTGCTCGCCCACCCTACCCCAGCCTTTTTCCTTCCTACTGCACAGGTGCTGGTGAAATGAGCAGTTGGGAAATTCCATTTCCTTGAGTGGCTGGCTGCTACTGGAAAAAAGGAAACTGAATCAGACACACGAGTTAGGGGCAAGTTTTTATCTGAAGATTGCCGTGAGGATTCGCAAAGAGCAAGCGAGGCCTGACTGGTGGTGCAGGCGGGGGTGCACTGCTACAGGATACTGGAGTCACGTGGGAAGGCCCAGGGTTTGGTCCCGAGTGAGCACACCAGGCACACCTGTGACCTGACTGACTGGCGGGGAGGAAGGAGGATTGCACTGTGACAGGACCCCGTCAAGGGTTCCTGTGCCCGTCTGTCTCAGGAAATAAAATTACATAGATATGTGTATATATTCTGCACGTGTGTCTTGCCGGAGGCCGCACACTGCATGGTAGCATTTGTATGAGCTGTCCAGGATAGGCAAATCCAGAGACACGACCTGGAAAAGTGATGGTCAGGGAGAGAGAATGACTGCTAATGGGTCAGCTTTTATTTTGAGGGTGATGAAAATGTTCAAGAATTCAGGGAGGTAGGAGACGATGTTGGGGGGCAGTATTGAATATCGTGTAACACCTCAAGATTACTAGTGCCAGACTAATCTCCTTTTAACTCATGGGAGATAGACAAAAGACTTTCTGAGGGTCCCACCATGCCAAGTGTTAAATTAGACTCCAATTGAAGTGTCCCCGTTCAGGAAGGTAAATTGAGTGGTGGGGTTCAGTGAGAAAGCAAAAGGACGGATTATGAGGGGTCTGAAGGGTCTTGGGAGGCAGCTAATGAATTTGCATTTTATTTTGCTAGCCGTGGCAATCCTAGGCCAGTGAGGAGGCTTCAAGGCCGTCGCTGTGAGGAACTGTAACTGCCCTGTCAGTATCTACTCAAGAAGGCTTCAGTCATTTAGGGCAAACAGTGAAGTGAGGGGCTGACTGGTCACTCCCCGAAGTAATCCAGGAAGCTGGGACGGGCCCAGCTGCAAGGGTGCCGGTTAGCGAGGTCCTGCAACAGTGCTGGAAGGCACTTGGAAGATCCCGGTGGGCTTCCCAATCAACCTGCCTGTGCTGGACCCCTGCAAGCCCTAATGCTGGCTGGGAAGGCTGTGGGTGGGGAAGGGAGCACAGTAGGAAACTCTGGAGGGTCTTATCTTTCCCTCACAAAAGGAAGGGAGGGAGGGAGAGAGGAATAAATTTTTTTAAAAGAGTCTGGGAATGGGCTTGGATGAGACAGACTCTCCTGCTGGGAGAACCTCCAGCTTCTCTCCCCCTCTTTATTGTTGAAATGCAGAAAGAGACTTGCTTTAGGAAGAAACTTGGATTAGTTTTGAGGTCAGGGTCCCAGGCATATCTGCTCCTGCCAGCCTAAGGGAACCATTCAGTGCTTCCAATGTGATGATTACTCAAAGAGGGGAGGGAGTGGTGATGAGCAGGAGAGAAAGAGTGAAGAGACAGGGCCTGGGGTGATTAGAGAACAAGGGGGAAGACAGCCTTAGAGACGGGGGAACGAATAGGGAATAAGCCTTCCTTGGTTCCCTTATCTCCGTGTTGGGCAGGCCTGCCCTCCCAGCCTCATCCCGCACACACAGGCACACAGACATGCCCGCCATCTGCCCAAAGCCTGCGCTGCAGCTATAACGGCCAGTGTCCTCAGCTCACCGTATGCCAGGTGTTTTCAGGACTTCTTGTAAACTCACTTCATCTTCCTGACAGCCCTCTTAGGTCCTGTGTTTCTCTCCATCTTAGCGAGGGAAGCTCTGAATCTCAAAGAAGTATAGCTGGCATGATCAGGGTTCAAGCCCCAGCACAGGTACTCTTAATCTGTCTGCTAGAAGGACTCTCAGCCATACTGAACGAACTACCTGAGTTCCTACAGATCCAAGTCAGGATTGAAAACAATCCAGGGAGCAGCAGATGGCATAGTGGTTATGTCACTGGGCTCCCACATGGCTGACTATGGTTCGAGTCCTAGATCCACTGGCTTGAAACTCATGCTGGGTGCATGTGCAAACGTACCCAAGATCCCAGGAGAGACTGGAGGAGGGGGATTGCAGAATTGTCATTCCCTCTGGGTGGGTGATTTCACACTTTCCTTCTCTATGTCTCTGACTCTGGGGAGCGCACACACCCCAAGGCAAAAATTTTAAAAGAAAGAATTCACCCTGGAGTGTGACTTCTCACTCTGTCTCTGTCTCTCTCTGTCTCTCCAGTGTGTAGCACTGCCTGGAGCACTCTTCCCCCTGCTTCACCCAGCCAGTTATATCTCACCCTTCAGAAGAAACTCAGAAGCCATGCTTCTCGGGGCCTTTGCAGGCCAGTCAGGAGCACTCCTCTGTGTTCTCTTACAGCCCGTTTACCTCTCACGGCTCCAACCACACTGCTGCCATCTGCCCTCTCTCAAGAGGACCACAAAGCCCAGGACAAGCCCAGGTTTCAGTCTGCCTCCCTTTCTCCAGTGCCTGGAGCCTGGGGATGCTTGATAAATGTTTGCCGAATAAATAAATAACAACGCATGGGGGCCAGACGGTACAGGGCTAAAATGTAGACTCTGTGAAGCTGACCTGCAGAGGAAGGTTCCACCTTCATACCCAGAGACCTCCCTGAATACACTGAGCATTCTATGCCCATCATCCATGGCTGGCTGAGGCTAGGGGTGGGGGGCAATCAAGACCCTGTTGAGGGTGCTGTAGCGCGTTCTGTCTCTCTTCCTCTCTCTCTCTCTCTGAAGAAAGAAATCTTTCAAAAATAATAAATAAAAAAACCAAGAATGCACACAAAAGAAAAATGTTAAGAGACTCCTACTCTTGCAGATGCTCTCTGACTTCCCAGTTTCCAAGACACCTGTAGCCCTGAAGAGCTACCTGGGCTCTTCCCTTCCTATCCCCTCTTAGGGTTCAAACTCATTCCTTCCAGTTTCACTCACCCACTTCTTGTTCTAAACAAAACAAAACAAAAAGAACAGGTGAGAGGGAGGGCAGCAGCAGAAGCCCCCCCCCCAAGGCAGCCCGTGGCCTCTGCTGCCTTCTGGCCCTCCTGCCTCTCTCCTCTCCCAGCAGCTGCGGAGGTGACTTCCTGAGGAAGGCGATGAAGACCCTGAAACCAGCTCTAATCCCATGGTCCTACCCCTGCTGCTTTACTGACTGGCAGACCTCTCCGTGCGTCAACCTCCCTATTATGTCGGATGGTTATAAGGATTAAATGTTGCACGTTAAGCTCTTAGTACTCAAAGTCATTTTTTAAAGATGGGGCCAACATGTTTTATGTGAGGTCCTACTCTGTTACCATGAAAGCCATTAAGGCCCCGTGCCTTCATGTTTTAGTCCATTTCGTTATTAATCATGGAAAATACCTGAGTCTGGGTCATTTATAAAAATAGAGGTTTACTGGGCGAGCAGGTGGCGTGGAGGTTAAGGCAGCTGGATCCCACATGGCCAACTGGGCAGTTCAAGTCCTGGACCTAGCATCTTGAAAAATCCACCAAGTGCATGTATGTGCATGCCTAAAATCCCATGAGGAGAATGTAGGAGAAGGGACTGTGGCATGGCCATCCCCCCGGGGAGTGCCTTTTCACCGTACCTCTCTCCCTAGTGAGTGCACATGTCCTATAGCGAATTTTTTAAATAAATGAATACATAGGTGCGTGTGGTGGCACACACCTGTAGTCCCAACTGGTAGGCTGCAGCAGAAGGGTGGTGACACAGCAAGACCTTATCTTTAAAAAATGGTATGTTCTTCTTACTTAACTTGGATTAACTCGATCTGCAAATTTTCCTTCTTCAGAAGGTACTATTCCCAGGACCAGCAGTTCACGTAATGGCTATGTCGCTGGATTCCCACGTAGTCGACCACAGTTCGAGTCCCGGACCCGGTGGCTTAAACTCACGCCGGGCACGTGTGCGTGCGTGCCCAAGATCCCGAGAGGAGAATGGAGGAGAAGGGATTGCGGTGTGGCCATCCCCCCCGGGGGATGATTTCTCGCTTTCTATCTCTCTGTCTCTGTCTGTCTGGTGAGTGCACGCGCCCTATAGCAAAAACCTCTCCAAAAAAAAAAGAAGGTACTATTCCCCGGTTTTGCAGATGAAGAAAACAAAGGTGAGCAAAGTGAATTGACCAAGGTCAACAGCACAGAGCTGGTTCTCACCACGTTTCTGACTCCGAAGCCCATTTTTTGTTTGTTTGCTTGCTTTTAAAGAATTATTTATTTAATTTTATTTATTCATTCATTTATCTTAATTTGGACAGAGACACACACACACACACACACAGAGACAGGAAGAGAAAGAGAGAAAGCAAGCCACCAGGTCCAGGATTTGAACCACAAGTGACCATGTGGTAGTGTCCAGCACCTTAACCACCATGTCACCTGCTGGTCCCCCCAAAGTCCATTTTTTTTCCCCTCAAATACTTCACTGCCTCTCAGCAGTACTGCACAAAGCCTAGAAGGGAGAAGGAGGTACTGAGTTACTCTAATTGTTTTGTTTTTGTTTTTGTTTTGAGAGAGAGATTTTTGCTATAGAGTGCGTGTAGTCACCACAGAAACAGAAAGACAGCGAAAAATCACCCCCCGGGG